CTCTTTCTGTAACTCTGCCTCTCGAGTAAATAAATAAATCTTTTACAAATATTTTATATAGAGAGATTGCTCTTAGCCTCTGCATAGTATTATGCTGCGAATATACCTATGGTTCATTCTTATATATTTAAAAATCAAATTGCTGGCACTGGCATTTAGCTCAGTGGTTAAGATAGTACCTGAGATGCCTGTGTCTCATACCATAGTTCCTGGTTTCACATCCTGGTTCCACTCCTGCTAATGTGTACTCTGGGAGGCGGTGGTGATAGGTCAAGTACTTCCATCTTTGCTACTCATCTGGGTGCTGTACACTGAGTTCTTCTTAGCCCCTGGCTTTGGTCTGACCCAATACTGGCTGTTGTGGATATTTGGGGAATGAACTAAGCAGAAGAAAGACTCTGTCTGTCTCCCTTTAAAATAAAAATAATAATGCCGGCGCCGCGGCTCACTAGGCTAATCCTCCGCCTTGCGGCGCCGGCACACCGGGTTCTAGTCCCGGTTGTGGCGCCGGATTCTGTCCCAGTTGCCCCTCTTCCAAGCCAGCTCTCTGCTGTGGCCCGGGAAGGCAGTGGAGGATGGCCCAGGTGCTTGGGCCGTGCACCCCATGGGAGACCAGGATAAGTACCTGGCTCCTGCCATTGGATCAGCGCGGTGCACCGGCCGCAGCGCACCGGCCGCGGCGGCCATTGGAGGGTGAACCAACGGCAAAGGAAGACCTTTCTCTCTGTGTCTCTCTCACTGTCCACTCTGCCTGTCAAAAAATAAAAATAAATAAATAAATAAAAATAATAACAATATTGCTATAGCCAAAAAATAATTTTCAAAGGCACGAGGGATACTAATGAATGGTTATGGAGTTGAGCACTTTGATAGTAGTGTGGTGTGAGCAACAGGCTCCTACATCAGAAATCCTCTTGGATATCATGTATTACGTGTCCAGATGTTTTCAGCTGATTTAAAGGGGGAAAACTCTTCAGAGGATTCCTCTTTGCTGTAGGAGAACAGACAGTTTAAAAAGTGATTGTAAATAAATCTTTAGTGGGGGGGGTGCACCGACACTCTGGCTTAACAGGTAAAGCCGCTACCTGCAGCCGGCATCCTCTATGGGTGCCCACTTCCAATCCAGCTCTCTGCTGTGGCCTGGGAAAGCAGTAGAAGATGGCCAAAGGCCTTCATGGAAAGCCTGCACCCTCATGGGAAACCTGGAAGAAGCTTCTGGCTCCTGACTTTAGATCAGCGCATCTCTGGCTGTTGCAACCATCTGGGGACTGAACCAGTGGATGGAAAGATGGAAGACCTCTCTTTTTCTCTTTCTCTCTGCCTCTGCCTCTCTGTAACTTGTCTTCAAATAAATAAATAAATCTTAAAAAAAATAAACAGTGATTGCAATGGAGCCAATGCTGTGGTGCAGCAGGGTAAGATGCTGCTTGCAGTGCCAGCATGCCATATGTGCTCCAGTTCAAGTCCTAGCTGTTCCACTTCCAATTCAGCTCCCTGCTAATGCACCTTGGAAAGCAGTGGAGGATGGCCCAAGTGCTTGGGCCCCTGCACCCACGTGGGAGACCAGAAGAGGCTCCTGGGCCCAGCCCTGGCCATTATGGCCATTTGGGGAGTAAACCAGCAGATAGAAGTGCACTCTCATACTCACTCTCCCTCCTTCCCTCTCTCTCTCTCTCTCTCTTTCTCTCTCTCTCTGAAACTATGCCTTTCAAGTAAATGTATCTTTTTAAAAATAAATGAGGGCCGGTGCTGTGGCATAGCGGGTAAAGCCATTACCTGCAGTGCCGATGTCCCATATGGGTGCCGGTTCAAGTCCCGACTGCTCCTCTTCTGATTCAGCTCTCTGCTATGGCCTGGGAAAGCAGTAGAAGTCCTTGGGCCCCTACACCCACGTGGGAGACCTGGAAGAAGCTCTTGGCTCCTGGCTTCGGATTGGCGCAGCTCCGGCTGTTGCAGCCAATTGGGGAGTGAACCAGCAGATGAAAGACCTCTCTCTCTACCTTTCTTTCTTTGTGTACTCTGACTTTCAAATAAATAAATAAATATTTAAAAAATAATTGATTTGGTAAGAAACACTCTGTGATTCAATATTAGTCAATCAAAAGATTTGCCTATGCCTTCTCCCAGTGTTTTACTTTTTATTTTATTTGAAAAAACAAAGCTGAGGAATTTTTTCTAACTTTCCCCTTAATATAGTTTTCTACCTTGATTTGGAAAATTTTCCTAATTATTATAATCTTTACATATCTGTGGTGTGGTTATTGAACTATTGATTACATAAGTGATTCCACAAGTCCACTTCAATGATTCCACAAGTCAACTTTTAACAACAAAGTGGGTAGGACAGGCTTTTGGGAGACCTGCATCTGAATTGGAGTGCCTGGTTCAAGTGTCGGCTCCCTTTCCTATCCAGCTTCCTCCTGATGCATACCCTGGGAGGCAGTAGGAGATTCCTCAAGTTCTTGGGTCCCCACCATTCATGTAGGACTCCCAGATTGAGTTCCTGGATGTTACTTTTGGGCCACTGTGGCCCTCGCTGTTTGGGGCATTCAGGGAATGAACCAGTAGATGGTCTGTCACTATCTAGCTTTCAAATAAAATGAAAATAATTTTTTTAAAATATCCGAGGTTTTCCTTGTTAGTAGTTCAGAGTGCTGCTGACAAATATATTTGAGGTATAAAAGAAATTGAGGGTAGAGACCAGTATTGTCAGCAGCACTGGCATCCCATGTGGTGGCCGGTTCAAGTCCCAGCCACTCCACTTCCAATCTTTTTCCATGCTAATGTGCCTGGGAAAGTGGCAGAAGATGGCTCAAGTGCTTGGGCTCCTGCATTCATGTGGGAAAACCGGATGAGGCTCTGGGCTGGGGAGTGAACCAGTGGATGGAAGATCTCTCTCTCCTAACTCTGCCTTTCAACTAAATAAAATAAGTCTTAAAAGCAAAGGTAGGGACCGGAGCTGTGGCATGGTGAATGAAGCCTCCACCTGTGTTGTTGGCATCCCATATGGGTGCTGGTTTGAGTCCCAGCTGCTCCACTACCAATCCAGCTCTCTTGTATGGCCTGGAAAAGCAGTAGAAGATAGCCCAAGTCCTTGGGCCCCTGCACCCACGTAGGAGACCTGGAAGAAGCTACAGGCTCCTGGCTTCTGATCGGCTCAGCTCTGACCTTTGCAGCCAGCTAACCAGCTGATGGAGGACCTCTCTCTCTCTCTGCCTCTCCTTTCTCTGTGTAACTCTTTCAAATAAAATAAATAAATTTAAAAAAAAAGACAAGGGTAAACAATGTTGCTAGAATATCTTCGTTCATATGTAAATTTTTTAGAATATGGGTAGTTTTTTTTTTATTGGTTGTGAGATTCACTAAATATGTCTGTGCATAGGCCTACCGAGTTAAACTACATCTGTTTGCATTACCACAACTTATAAGCTTTTGCTGTTAAATGTTCCTAGGGAAAGTATAGGAGTAAGCTTATACTTGTTTACCTTCTGCATCGCAGTGGTGTTAGAAAAGTAAAGATGAAGAAATTGCTATCTGTTGTTAGACAACATTTAGATTGGTATTAATATATCAATGTTAGGGTGGGTGTTTGGTGTAGCACTTAAGACATACTTGGGATGGCCACATCTAGTATCAGGGTGCCAGGGCCAGCTTCATTCTCGATTCTCACTTCCTACTAATGTACACCCTGGGAGGCAGCAGGTAGTTGGGTTACTGGGAGACCCAGATTGAGTTCCTAACTCCTGACTTCGGGCCAGTACAGCCTTGGCCATTGCAGGCATTTGGGAATCAACCAGTGAATGGGAAATTTCTCCCTCCCTCCCTCCCTTCTTCCCTCCTTCCCTCTCTCTCTTTTTCTCTGTCTTTCAGATATATATTTTAAAAATATATATCTGAGTAAAAGTTGTATCATGAAAGCCAATTGTTATAACTGACATTATTTAAGGTCTTATGCTGTATGATATTCTGTATAATATTATATAATGGAAAAGCTCAACATTATTAAACAAAAGCTAAAAATGTCATTCATCTAGGATTGTTCAGTAATTGTTGAACACATGAAATAACAAACATTTGATTATATTTTTTCCTGATAGGAAAAAAGTATATAGATTGACTTCTACTTGTATATGTGATTTGTGGTACACATTGACATGACAAAAATACTGCTTTATTTAATTTAGAGAAATAATACTAATTGTATTACAGTTACAAGTGGGGAATTGTAACATAGATGTTCATTCTTGGTATATCATTAAGCTCCTTTAAATTTCTTTTTTTTTTTTAATTTTTTTATTTATTTGACAGATAGATTTTGACAGTGAGAGAGAGACAGAGAAAGGTCTTCCTTCAGTTGGGTCACCCCCCAAATGGCCGCTACGGCCGGTGCACTGCGCCGATCCAAAGCCAGGAGCCAGGTGCTTCCTCCTGGTCTCCCATGTGGGTGCAGGCGCCCAAGGACTTGGGCCATCCTCCACTGCCTTCCTGAGCCACAGCAGAGAGCTGGACTGGAAGAGGAGCAACTGGGACTAGAACCCAGTGCCCATATGGGATGCTGGTGCCGCAGGTGGAGGACTAACCAAGTGAGCCATGGCGCCGGCCCCACTCCTTTAAATTTCTTCTGAAATCTGTTAATGTTCCTAGATGTTTCTGTTAACATTGACTACTTGAACAAAATTACAAATGGCATTTGTGTAAGTTTTGTCACTTTTAAATTCATTTCAGGGCATTTTAAGAAATTCATGGAAAAATGGTATTAAAAGATAAGTTTACTTCATTGCAAAAACATTTTGAAGTCTGTGCATAGGTTTTTCTTAATGTGAGTTTTACATGACCTTTGTGTAGACCCCTTGTACAGTCTGCCGACTCTTCAGGTGAACACATAGCATCTGCTATAAACTATGGGTTTGCTTTCAGAAATTAAGCTTAATAAACCAGATTTTATTTATAAACTAAATAAATGATCTTCATCTAAGATATTTTGAATTCCTCTCTTTCAGATGGGCCATCTTACTCTGGAAGACTATCAGATCTGGAGTGTGAAAAATGTTCTTGCCAATGAATTTTTAAATCTCCTTTTCCAGGTATGTTTAAGGTAAATGATAGATACACAGAGCAGAACTATCAGTAATTTTGTGTTTTTTTCTGTCATATAATAGCTAAAAGTATCATATCAAAGCTGCAAACCATAGATTATAAACAGATAAAACAACTACCTTATGCTGTACAGTACTTGAAACCTGGTAAGAAGAGCATAAGTGACTGCTGAAGCTCCCCAACATTGTGATATAGAAACTAGGAAAACAGAATGTAGAAGATTTTACTTGTCTTCATATAACTCATGATAGGGCAGCATGTAAGCATACAGAGGGTAATTTAAATTGCCAAAGCTGTAACTGTTGTTTTGCTTCATTGTAATCTTTAATGCCCTTCCTAATAAGTAAGGCAGTTATGAATAGAAAATGGGAAATAAGTAAGTAATTATAAGTTTCTCAAAGTATATTGTCTCTAGATGGATATTATCTTAGCTGTAAGGGTGTGTCTTAACATTTATTCTTTAGAAGATCTAAGAAAGATTAAGAAGGAAGAAGAGCTGCCAGGAGTTATCAGCTCATCAAGCTTGCCAGTTTATAAGTGTTTTTCTAGTTAGATTAATTACTTGCTCTGATTTTTAAAAATAATTTCTATTTTCTCATTTTATTTATCATGATCTTCCATTTTAAATGAAGAATAATTTGTCCACAACACAGCTGTGTTAGAATAAATAGAAATTGGTCTCTTCCTAACATCTAATCTGATAAGCTTTATACCACCCATTCTTGTCCATTGGTTGCTTTACTTTTTTTTTTTTTTAAAGATTTATTTATTTATTTGAAAGAGTTACACAGAGAGAGGAGAGGCAGAGAGAGAGAGAGGGAGGGAGGGAGAAAAAGAGAGAGGTCTTCCATCGCCGGTTCACTCCCCAATTGCCTCAATGGCCAGAGCTGTGCCAATCCGAAGCCAGGAGCCAGGAGCCAGGAGCTTCTTCCAGGTCTCCCACATGGGTGCAGGAGCCCAAGGACTTGGGCCATCCTCTACTGCTTTCCCAGGCCACAGCAGAGAGCTGGATCAGAAGTAGAGCACCCAGGTCTCAAACCGGTGCCCACATGGGATGCCGGCGGTTCAGGCCAGGGCGTTAACCAACTGCACCACAGCACTGGCCCCCATTGGTTGCTTTACTGTCAGTGACAGTTTTCAGCAGGGATTCAAGTTAGTGGCTTTGAAATATGTATGAAGGTAATATAGATCTTCATATAAACACAACTGACTTGCTTGGTAACAAGAAAATTGGTTAGTTCTTTTTCTACCATTTAAAATAATATCTGTGTTATTGGGTTTTGTAGGCTATTTTACTTCTGCTATTTTTGAAACTGCTTTGTTAAATACACAGTATGTAAGCATTTTGATCACTTAAGTTTGTGTCTGAGTTTTGTCACTGTCACAAACACTGGCATTTTGAGTTTTGGTGTTTCCCTTCCTATCTTCTCATTCTTATGGATGTGGAAAGGTGTTATTTTTCTGAAACTCTGACTTATAAACAAACATGTACTTGGGATGTGCTTATGTGAACATGTGTTTCCAAGATTTTATTATGAAAAAGGTTTTTCCAGTTTAAAGCCGCACACCCACCCCCTAAATCTATTAGTACATTTTACTATACTTGCTTTATCATATATTCTAATGTGTTTTCAAATATACATTCAATTAAAATAAGAGTCTAAAGACAGTTCTGCTGAGTTGTTTTATGTTCTGTCTTAAACTTACTAGAGTTAGCTGGTAAATTCAGTGATATTGCGTGTTGAATTATGCTCCTACAATATTTGCAAAGATCTCACTGAATGTTTGGAGTATTCTCTGATAACCTTCCAGGTGGTCCCCACTCTTGCCCCAAGGAAAGCTCCCAGGAGAATTTTCTCCTCAGGACCAAATGGGTTAACTGACCTGATAAAGATGCCCTAAGGGAAGCCCCTCTACTCTGCTAGCAAATCTGGGGAGGAATTTGCTAATTTTCACTCAACAAACCCTTCAGCTAAGACTCCCATCCTTTGTTCTGGCAGCAAGGGGATGCTGGGTAAGCAGATTCCCTTAAAAAAATAGGAGTCTAAACAAAGATAGGCGAGCTCAGCCCTCTGCTCTCTGCTGAGCCACCCAGCCTGGCCTGCCCAGGTGTATTCTCTTCATTCAACCATGTAACCTCCCTTTCCCCCAATCTGAATGAGCACTCTCTCCCTTATCCCTTCCATTCTGATGGATGCTGTATCCCCATTAAAACCTTATCACCGGGGCCAAGTGCTGGCATCCCATATGGATGTCTATTTGAGACCCAACTGCTCCACTTCCAATCCAGCTCTCTGCTATGACCTGGGAAAGCAGTACAAGATGGCCCAAGTCCTTGGGCCCCTGCACCTGTGTCAGAGGCCTGGAAGAAGCTCCTGGCTCCTGGCTTCGGATTGGTGCAGCTCTGGCCATTGCAGCCAATTGGAGAGTGAATTGGAGGATGAAAGACCTCTCTCTCCCTCTCCCTCTCCCTCTCCCTCTCCCTCTCCCTCTCCCTCTCCCTCTCCCTCTCCCTCTCCCTCTCCCTCTCCGCCTCTCCGCCTCTCCGCCTCTCCGCCTCTCCGCCTCTCCGCCTCTCCGCCTCTCCGCCTCTCCGCCTCTCCGCCTCTCTTCTCTCCATGTAACTCTGAATTTCAAATAAATAAATAAATCTTAAAAAAAAAAAAAAACCTTATCACTTCACACACATAAAAAAACTAGCAAATACAGGTGACAATAAAACTATCCTGAAAACTGTCCCAAAGTACCATCTCAAGCATGGAAACATCATCAGAGTCTTCTCTCTTGTGCATTTGTCAAAAAATATCAAATGTTAAGGAAAGAAGTAGAGAGAATAATGCCACACCTCCCCCAAGATATTCAGATCCTGACCCCCAGAACCAGTGAGTGTGTCTTCTTGCATAACAAAAAGAACTTTGCATCCATATCGGGTTAAGAACTCAAGAGACAGAAAAGTTAGCCTGGGGCTGAGTGTGATCTCTGGCTCAGTGAAAGTGGAGAACCTTTCCCAACCATCATCAGAGGAGAAGGAGAAAAGGGAAGAGGAGAGAGTGTTGGAAGAATTAACTCAAAGGTGCGTCTTTGCTAACCCTGAAGATAGAAGAGGAAGCAGGGTGCTGGATTAGAAGTGAAACAGTGTGCCGGCGCCGCGGCTCACTAGGCTAATCCTCCACCTAGCGGCGCCGGGGCGCCGGATTCTGTCCCGGTTGCCCCTCTTCCAGGCCAGCTCTCTGCTCTCTGCTGTGGCTCGGGAGTGCAGTGGAGGATGGCCCAAGTGCTTGGGCCCTGCACCCGCATGGGAGACCAGGAGAAGCACCTGGCTCCTGGCTTCAGATCAGCGCGATGCGCCGGCCGCAGCGCACCGGCCGTGGCGGCCATTGGAGGGTGAACCAACGGCAAAAGGAAGACCTTTCTCTCTGTCTCTCTCTCTCTCACTGTCCTCTCTGCCTGTCAAAAAAAAAAAAAAAAGTGAAACAGTGGAACTCAAACTGGCACCCATATGGGACGCCAGCATTGCAGGCAGCAACTTAGCCCACAGTGTACCATAGTGCCACTCCTTGAGGTTCACTTTTGATTCCAGCTTCCTGCTGATGCACACCCTTGGAGGTAATAAGTGATGACTCAAATACTTGGTCCCCTACCACCTGTGTGGTAGAGCTGGGTTCCATGAGCTCCTGGCTTTGGTCTGGTCCAGTTTCAGTTGTGAGAATTTGGGGAATAAGCCAGCAGATGGAAGATACCTATCTCCCTTTCTCTCTGCCTTTCAAATAAAAAAAAAAAAATGCTTTTCTAAACCACACAAATACCTGAAGTTAAATTTTTGCCTAGGTGAATCATCAGTAATTCATCAATTGTGGTGCAGTGAGTTAAGCCATCACTTGGATGCTTTGAGTCCCAACCTGGGGAAATTAAGCCTCAGCCTGTGACGCCAGCATCCCACTCAGGTTAGAGTCCTGGCTGCTCCACTTCTGATACAGCTCCCTGCTAATATGCCTGGGAAAGCAGAAGATGGCCCTTGTGCTTGGGCCTCTGCCATCCACGTGGGAGATCCACATCTTGAAGTTCCTAGATCCTGGCCTTGGGCCTGGCGCACCCCTGGCCGATGCAGCCATTTGGGACACAAAACAGAGATTTGAAGACCTCTCTCTCTCTCTCTCTTGCTCACTCATCTCTGGCTCTCTATCACTCTTCCTTTCAAATAAATAAGTAAAAATGTTTTTAATGGAACTCATCACAAGAATGTGAAATATTATGCAGTCTAAACGTTGGCAGTAGTCAATAAAGTTTGATTTATGATTTTGTTCCCTAGGTTTGTCACATAGTTCTTGGTTTAAGACCAGCTACTCCAGAAGAAGAAGGACAAATTATTAGGTAAATTTTGTGCTTTCAATATGTGTTTTTCATTAAATAGTTGTAATTTCTAACAACCTGAATTATATTTATAACTAAACAGTAGCATGTCCCATTTTAAAGTAATCCTAGTGAAACGTTAAAAATACCTTCCTAGCCAAGGAACAGGATTAATTTGGAATTACACAGAATACCAAGTTTAATTTCTGAAATAAAAATATTTTATAAGAATAGGAAGCCATTTATCTTGGTATAAAAGTCACTCATGTTTATTGTAAAAACAATAAAAATAGAAAATAGAGCTAAGCAAAAATTCATAATTTCTGTATTTGCAGATAATTGCTATGGACCAGTTTTATATTCATACACCCACTTATAATTATGCCCACAGGGTGTTTTGTAAAACTTTCCCATAAATAGGAATATTCTGAACTATCATTTGATTTCCTGCTTCTGCTTTCACTTCAGGTCATATAATGTGATATTTTGATCAGTAAAAAGCCTTTAAGTAATTGACTGGTAACCCTAATCATCTTCTGTTTTCCCTATTTTTCTTTAAGCATATTGGAACAATTTTGTAATAGTCTAAAATGCTTTTGCTTATGGATTTACTTAGGATAAATTACTCTCAGTGAAAATCTTGGTAATATAAAAATGCCTATCCAAGGTATAGCTGTTTAATTTTTAGTACCTTGAGTATTTTTCATTGCCTTGTGGTGTTACCATTGTACTACGCATTTGTGTGAATAAACTCTCATATGTATGTTCCTTGTCATTTAATTTCTTCTTAAAAGTATTGCACATAAAATTCTTCAGTAGTTTCTTTGGGTTGGGACTTCTAGGTAGAAGGCAGTTTTCTGAAATACAGTTGGTTGGCATACCTGAGAACAGGATTATGTATTCACCAATGCCAATTAAGGTTTAGGTTAGTTGAAAGGTAGGTGGGTAGGGAGTTAGCACAGTTATTAAGCTGCTTCCCCTCTTAGTGCCTGGGTTCAAGTCCATGCTCCACTTCCTATTCCAATTTCCTGCCAATGGGCACCCTCCAAAGCAGCAGGTGATGGCTCAAGTAATTTAGTTCCTACTGCTCACATATGAGACCTGAAATGAGTTCTGGGCTCCTAGCTCCACGCAGGTCCAGCTGGTTACAGGCGTTCGGAGAGTAAATCAGCAGGTAGAAGATGTCTGTCTCTGACTCTCTGCCTTTTAAATAAGTGAAAATAAGTAAATGATTTTTAAAGGACTTGGATTAGTTGATGTATATTATCCAAGTTTTGAAGTGGTTATTTCTTAAAGAAGATTAAGCAGACTTTCTTTGTTAAAATATTACTATCATTAAAAACTATAGTGTCATGTAGCCTTTTTAATTTTCATATTCAGAAGATAGCCTCTTCATAGTTTTAATGTGTTCTTGACAATGTTGTCTTGGTTTTCTCTAATTTTTGTGTTATGTAAAATAACATTTTAAAATATGTTGATAAAGGAGATACTATAAGAAAACACTTAAAGTCTTTTACATTCTTACAGTGACTTTTTTCCTTATAACAAATATAATTCCACGATGTAATAAGATATTCTGAAGTTACTATAACTTAGCATAGAGAGAATGAATGCTATTTAGTCAGTACTTACATTTCTTGGCTTATTTTCCAGCTCTTCATTGCATCCTTATTTCAAAAAAGTAATGCTGACAAAATCTTCTGTTTTTATAGAAGTTTATTCTTTGTAAAGTTCTTCCACTTGCATCATTTCATCTAGTCCTCAGAATAGCTGCTTGAATTTAGTGTCATCCATTTTTTAAAAGAACTGAGATTCAGAAAAATTAAGATATTTGCCTGAAACGGCATGGAAATGACAAAAATAATTCTGGGATCTTTTTTATTAAAAACACCAACTATACCTTGCTTTTTGTAATCTTTTATTTTTTAATATATATGAATTTAAAGTCATTGGTTATAATCTGTTTGTTTCATTTTTGAGGTTTTTGTTTTTTAAGTTTTCTTTTGTTTTACCTCTATGTTTTACTTAAAAAAATCTGCTTGGCTGGTTGATGCATATGCTGTCAGGTGAAATAGTTGTTTCTAACTTCAAAGTCACTACACTGTTTTGGAGAACAAGTATCATGATTTCTGGAGTGACTGAAGAGCTCAGCAAATCCTGTCTGCCCAAAACAACTATAAAACTGGACAATAAAAACCATTTCAAGACTCTGAAAAAAAAGGCCAGTTGGGTATAGTAAATTGAGAAGCATTTATTCAAGAAAAACCAGTAACCTTTTTTTAAAAAAAATTATTTATTTATTTGAAAGGCAGAGTCACAGAGAAAGAGAGGGAGAGATAAGAGAGAGATCTTCCATCTGCCACAATGTGCCCAAATGGCCACAATGGCCAGCGTTGGGCCCATCTGAAGCCAGCAGCCAGGAGCTTCTTCTGGTTTTCCCATGTGGGTGCAGGAGCCCAAGCACTTGGGCCATCCTCTGCTGCTTTCCCAGACACATTAGTGGGGAGCTGGGTTGGAAGTGGAGCAGCCAAAACTCAGAACAGTGCCCATATGGGATGTCGGCACTACAGATGCAGCTTTACCCACTGCACCACAGCATTGGCCCCCAACTACCAGCCCTTGATAAGTACACTGAAGTATATGGCAGTTTATCCCTGGGGTTGTTTTGTTCCCACCTGTCCAGCAAAGTTCTACCAGCGCAGGCCAGAAGGATTCACTTGATTTTGACTGGAGCAGGGATAGAGGCCTGCACAAGGTTATTGGAAAAAGTAAGGTCATGATGGCAAATGATGAGGAAAGGCTTGAGAGCAGCAGCATGAGTTGAGATACTAGTTACGGGAAGCAACAAGCAGATCAGTCAGGTGTCTATCAGGGATGAAGGGGACGAGTAATGATCTGTAGCGCTGCTTTGCATGTACAAAACTCAGGAAGTACTGAAGTTGGCCTTAGCTATCTGTTCTTCACTGAAATGTGAAGGCTTTCAGAAAGCAAAAGTCTGGAAAGATTTATAGCTCCTTGAACTTGGAGTGTATTCCTAAAACTATCCACAGATCAGCCCTCATGAAAGGTTAGAAGTGTTACTGGCTCTAGGTGTTTGTGCACAACCTTGGCAGTCATTGGCTGATCAGTAAATTATACTCATGTTCAAGAAACCTAGGTTTAAAAATAAAAATAAAAATATATTAAAACAAAAAAATAGGTAAGTATTTGGCATGATGGTTAAGATGTCAGTTGGGATGCCCACATCGAAGTGCCTGGATTCCGGTCCCAGCTCTGCTCCTGATTCCAGCTTCCTGCTAATATGCACCCTTGGAAGCGGCAGATATTGGCTTATGTAGTTGAGTCCATGCAGCTCATGTGGAAAATCTGATTGAGTTCCAGTCACTTGGCTTTGGCTTGGTTCAGCCCCGTCTGTTGCAGGCTTTCAGGGAGAGAACTGGTGGTTAGAAAATGCCTTCCCATCTATCTCTGCCTCTCTTCCTTTCAAATAAATAAAAATGAAAAAAAAAAAAAGAAAAGAAAAAAGAAACCAAGAAACTGAGCAGCCTCCTACTGCAAGATACCATGCTTGGAGAGAGATACACTGTACAGAATTAGTCCAGGAAGTTAACAACAACAAAAACAAAAACACAGGAGTATTAGAATCCAGAGTTGCTGAAGTATATCATAAACTCAAATGTGTCCAATTTTATGCAAGAAAATATTATGATTCATGGAATGAACCTGAAATTCTGACCCATATACAGAGAAAAAACCAAAACCAGTTAATAGGGAAACTATCTCTGAGGTAGACCCAAATGTTGGACTTACCGTACAAAGACTTCAGTGCATCTTAAAAAGGGTACCAAATAATCTCCAATGATTTCTAAACTACCTAAGTACAAAAAAATCAGAGGGGAGGGCGGCAGCATTGTGACCTAGCGGATTAAGCCACCACCTGCAACACCAACATCCCCACCAGAGTGCTGGTTCGAGTTCTTACCACTCTGCTTCCAATTCATCCCCTTGCTAATGTGCCTGGGAGAGCAGTGGAAGATGACCTAAGTACTTGGGCCCCTGCCACCCATGTGGGAGACCAAGATGGAGTCCTGGGTGTCTGGGTTTGACCTGATCCAGCCCCAACCATTCTGTCCATTTAAGAAGTGAACCAATGAATGGAAGCGCTCTTTTTCTATCACGTTCTCGCTATCCCTCTGCCTTTCAAATAAATAAGTACATCCTTTTTTAAAAGTAAAAAAAAATTTCACTTGGTGGCCAATGCCATGACATGGTAGGTTAAGCCTCCACCTCAGGCCCTGGCATCCCATATGGGCATTGGTTCAAGACCCAGATGCTCCATTTCCAGTCCAGTTCTCTGCTAATGACCTGGGAAAGCAGTGGAAGATGGCCCAAATACTTGGGCCCCTACATCCACGTGGGAGACCAGTAAGAAGCGTTCTTGGCTTTGGACCTGTCCAGCTCTGGCCATTGCAGCCATCTGGGGAGTGTGAACCAGCAAATGGAAGATATCTCTCTTTCTCTCTCCCTCTCTCTCTCTCTCTCTCTCTCTGTGTCTCTCTGTCTCTCTCTGTCTCTCTCTGCAACTCTGCCTGTCAAATAAACAAAAAGATCTTTTTGTTTTCATTTGACAGGCAGAGTTAGAGAGAGAGAGAGAGAGGTCTTCCTTCCATTGGTTCACCCCCCAAATGGCCGCCACGGCCAGTGCGCTGTGCCAAACCGAAGCCAGGAGCTAGGAGCCAGGTGCTTCCTCATGGTCTCCCATGCGAGTGCAGGACCCAAGCACTTGGGCCATCCTCCACTGCCTTCCCAGGTCACAGCAGAAAGCTGGACTGGAAGAGGGGCAACTGGGACAGAATCCGGCGCCCAGACCAGGACTAGAACCCAGAGTGCTGACGCCGTAGACGGAGGATTAGCCTAGTGAGCCGCGGCACCAGCCAACAAATGAATCTTTTAAAAAAATTCACTTAAAGTGGCTGGAAGCAGACTTAAACTGACTGAAATATCTAGCAAAACAATATATA